ATGCGGTTTGGTTGCTTGCTTTTGTTTGTTTTTTTATTTTGTTTTTTTGCCGACCTAGCCGTCTCACGTTTCTAAGCAAAATTATAAGCGGAGATCTGCACTCCACGGTGATTGACAGATAACTGACTCGAGTTTGGCCTGGCCACGCGCCTTTTATACCGGAACTTCCTGTTTAAGAGCACTGCTGACATATACGGTCAAGGGCAAAAAATCAATTAACCTTGTTACGTGCACCGTTAAAGATTCAATTCATAAAAGAAAAGAAAAAATAATTTAAGGTCTAAATAAAACAGTTTAAATCCAAACACCTCGGATTTAGTAAAAATTAGTCAGTTGTGTTAGGTATTTTGTTACTTAGTTGTTTTGTTTGTTGGCTGGCTGCGTTACCAGCGTGGTTGGTCCTTGTAGTGTAGTGGTTAACACATCGGACTAGAATACCGAAGACGTGGGTTCGAATCCTGCCAAGGGCATTTGATATTTTTCTCTTATTCTCTCTACTTCATTATATACACACCGAACGCATAATTTATTACTACTATGTTTTGTTTGTTTGGTTTGGTTTGGCTTTTAATTGATGACGTAATCTTCGGTTACATGCGTCAGTAACGTCAAGTACCTATAGATTCTCATCAAAAATAAGATCACGTAGCTGATGAAAATGGCGTGGCAGTGCATGAGGCATGGAGATCTGCCAGTAAACATGTTAGTCGTTTGGGAGCCTAAACATGGGCAGGCTTAGCTAGGAGAGGGGGCGTCATTATTACTTTCATTGACCTACTTAAAATGGACACACGCCTTGTCTTCACCGCTTAAATCAGATCATTTATTTTGGACAGTGATGAACAATAAACGATGACGGAAAAATTATGAACAATTAGTTCATTAATTATACAGCTTCTCATTAATCCCATATAGGTAACTGTCCAATTATTTTCTTAATTGGACAGGTTTTGTTGATATGGGATTAATTAGGCAGCTATATAATTAATAGGTAAGGGGATTTCATGCTCCCCAATCAAGAAATAATTAGACTCGAAAAATTCCTCTGACTGCCAAATTGGACTCGACCTACGGCCTCTTCCAATTTTTTCAGTCCTCGGAATTTTCCTCGTCCGATTGTCTTAATTGGACAGCATGGAGTCCTATTACATATACTTATTATTCCCATATGAAATCCAAACTGCATCCAACAAGGTTTGGGCTACCTGTGCCACGATCGAACTAAATTCAATGTAATCCAAATTTTATTTATTTTTATCTTTACACAGTAAAAAATAAGATTATACTATATTAACAATTATCATGAACTGTAATGTTTTGCCCATGCGTAGGGCTGGATTGACCACTGGCCAGTTTTAAAATTAACTGAGCCGAGCGCATTGAAAAGTTCGGCTTTCGATATTGTATTCAAATACGATTCAACTCTCAACTAACTGATATGTTTAGTAGAACTACATCCCTGATCTAAGCTGTTTAACTAAAACACTCTTTTAAAAATATTCTTGCAATGCATTGGTTTTTTTGAATGATGACTACCGTGTTAAGGTGTATACAAATTTACCGCTTTTACCACATTTTAGTCAATCATTTTTTAAATATAAATCATCCTTTAAAGTTTATTCTAGAGTTCCTCATCGCACGGGCACCCTCTGTCCCAGTCATCTCGTTCAGTTACGCCCGAGAGCAGAATGATGACGAGTGACGTAAGCCTCATTTGGTTTTTTCAAGATGGCGGCTAGGTACTCTAAATTTTGAAAAGGTCCATTTTTCTCCTTTTTCCGGTATCTAACAAATCTTCCTTCGTTATCGTAGTTTAAAGTAAGTCATCCCCTTCTAGASCCTGTCTGTTTTCTGCTGCTTGCTTTGCCTTCATGTATCTTACAACGTAAACAAGCGTCGCCACACAAATCCATCCTCCAGCAACACCAAGACCAACACCAATAGCTAGGACTGAGTTATAACGATGACGTAATGCACGGCGGTCACGTGGGCTTAACACGTGATGTCTTCGATGACGACCTCCTCGTCTTCTTGTTGGGATAACCGACTGAAACGATATTATTAACACTTATTAAGACAACGTTCCGTTTATTATTTGAACAATTTACCGCCAGAAACAAAACTAGGTTGTCCACCAAAACCTACTATGTTGCGATGACAATGCCGCGGGTGTAATTGATGAGTGTAAAAAAGAGCAGCCATGTTGTAAGATAAATCTGCGACCAGAAATTTTCTCCTTTGGGAACTAAAATCTCTCGTAATCTAAAGACATTTTATTGTCTCTGCTTTACAACATGGCTGTCGTGAAATAGTCCCTTCCACAGTTCCCTGCACCATCTTGAAATGTAGCCGTGCCTTTGCATCGAAGCGAGACGAAAGGGTGAGCTTGCAATGATAGAAACCTTTTTTAAACACCTTGAACAATTATTCACATTCACATGTGTAGGCTACTTTTCAAGATGGCGCAGGGAACTGTGAAGAGGACTATTATTCTTTACTAAAGACATTGACTTACCCGCGAAGAACCGTTTTCCTCTTGATCGTCGTTATCTCCAGCTGGTGCAAAGAAAAGAAGACAAAACATGATTCAATATTAGAGGAGCTTCCCTTGATTCAATATCGAGTAAATAAAATTCCGAATTACAAAGCTCCAGTGCCTTGACAAGTCTGGATAGTCACGTGATGGTTGTCATATTGGAGGCATAAAACATTTGATTGTTTTCTGTCATAATATTTTTCCTCCTATATATCCAATATGGCAACCACATGATGGCGGCCACATTGGAGGATGAACAATGCTCTCCTCCTCTCGTAGTATTTTTCCTTCTATACATCCAACATGGCAGCCACCTCGTGACCATGATGCATTTTCGTTAAAATCAGTATATTTGAAGTAAATTTATGAGAAGAGTTAAGTCTAAATTTTGTCCAGCGGACTTACCCTGAATGCATTGAACGACTAGCAACACGATAAATATAAAGCACCAGATAAATGTGCGCATGTCTGTTTCAGGATAACCGCTGTTTACTTCATTCGATTCTTATTCTGAAAAGAAGATATTACAAATAAGAAATTAAAAACGGTATATAATAGGCCTTTTGTATGATGGCGTCATTTTACTACCACTRCCATAATGCTTTGCGAATTTTCTTTCTTATTTACATTTGTATTCCCTCATGAGAATAGTAAGACAATGGGTGCTAATTAACTGAAGAAAAGAAAGTGTGCAAGGGAGTCTGGTAGTGGTAATAAATGACGCCATAATGCAAGTGGCCTATTATGATCAAAAATCGTACGTAGCTGGTTCATAAATTTAAAGTAATTATAGACCAAAATGAGCGACATTTCTTAAGCATAAGTCCTTTTGCTAAAAGTTGGAAGTTTGCAAAGAGTGTTGAACTGAATTGGGTTAAAATTTGCAGCTAATCAACCATTTTCTGAATTCAAATTCACGATTTGGAATTTAGCAAAATGGCTGACGTTAGGCAAATATTTCAGCCAAATCAAAGTATTTTTGTGAGTCAACATTTTTGGACTGAATGTCAATTCATTTGGCAGTAGAAATAAAGAACGAAAATAGTCAATAAGAGTGTGTCAATGGGGATAGCCAGTTGTCAGTTAAGGTGGCTGCCTACTTTTGAACGTTCGAATTGAGCCCACGATGAGCGCGCGCTCAAAAACCGCTGAAAAATCTACAAGATTTTATTGAAGAACCATACGC